GTTTGTAATAACCTGGTCTGGTGGCTGGATGTTTACAAATCCCTGGATGAAGTGGGACCCCTGCACTTCAGTCAGCGAGGGGTGGAGAGAGCGCTCACTCTGGCTGGTGATGATTAGACACACCAGGCTGGAGTGAACCAGCACCTCATCCACCACATCCTTTAGACCTACAGCAAGAGACAAGAAGAATTCATATCAAGGCCAGGATAATTATCAATACTGTCTGTGATCATACAGTTTGACACAAAAATCCCCCAGACACACATACAAATGAAAGATGTAAAGTTTACTCTGAGCAATGTGCTGTTGCATCAGCGCCTCGGGTCCCTGCTCATGTTCTGGTGAGGTTGGTGCCCCTGTTACTTGATCCAGGTCATCAAGAAGAACAACTGAAGGCTGCCTCCACTCTGCCTGTTCAAAAATGTCCTTCAGCATCTGTCTCACACTTTCTGCCCTTTTGCCTGAGAACACAATTCTTAAATTCACAATGGCTTCACTTAAATAAAGCCAAGTTTTCTGAACAAATAGACATGAACTTCATTATCAAGTGTTTGCATAAAGTATCTATTGACCTTGTAGCTTTCTGCAGTCCACCACCTCCACATGTGCATCCAAAACTTCTCTCGCTTTTTTGCAGAGGGCTCTGGATAGAGTGCTCTTTCCACTGCCCTGTGAGGAGAACAAAAATAACTATATATAGTTCTTTAAATTCCCTGCAGACCTAAATTAACTCTGTAAAATGTAATACAGTGTAGCGTTGTAAGTATTTAAATATTTTCATTTTTGCTATGGAAAGCAATACCTTTGCACCAGTGATGAGTAGAGCTCCTCCTTGGAGACCCTGACCAGTGGTACAAAGCTCTCGTGAAAGGGGAGTACCCAGAAGGCAGTGGGAGATGAACTCAAATCCAGTTCTACTAAACTCATCAATCCCACTGGAGAAAAACGAAGAAGTGAGAGATGTAAAGAGAAATTGATCCTGGAGATGGTCCTTGTTTAAATCATACAAAGGCTCAGAAATATCTACAGACTTACCCGAGGATACTGAGGGAGGGAAGCTCTGGATTTGGTGTTTCGGCTACATCTTTCAAAGCTGGCATGGTTACTGACTCTCTGTGTACCTGAAGGTGACGCGAAGTGTAAAATACCACACTTTAAAAAAGATATTATCATGTACGTGGCATTATCCAAAGAAAAACTGCATGGGGGGATCTGTTTTTTGCAGTGGAATATTGATGTGCTGAACACAAAATGTACATGTTAATACCTGTATGTCTTCTTTCTTAATGAGGGTGTGTGCCAGTAAAAATAGCTGGTCAGGAGGATCACTTGCTGCTTCTGGTTTCAGTACAGTTAAAGCGAACTCTAACTTTGCTATGAATGAGAAACACAGGGGAGAACAGTGACATATTATTGCAGCAGAAAGTAATGTAGTTTTTTATGCTGTATTATGATTTTATCCTGATTGATATTTAATATTTTGGGAAGATAGCTACAAACATTGTGCAGATTTGTCTGTAGAATTAATAAATCTGAAAAGCTTTTAAAAGAGGGGTAGAAATGAATCACCATCAGTTCCATGTAGGAGGATGGTGCCAGACCGTGCAGTCAGACAGGCTAAAGGTTCATGACTCTGAGTGTGCAGCCAACCGAGGAAAGCTGTCTGGATCCCCTCATCGTCCTCCTCAGACTGAGGGGTAAATGTCAGAGATCATAAAATCATAGGGAAGTAGGAAGATTCAACTTTATCCAGCTTTGAACAAATGAAATATGTGCTTGCTAGATATTTTACACCCAAATCTAGCTGCAGATGAATACTCCAGCACTCACCAGTGGTTTCAGAGGCTGTAGACAAATAGCGGCGGCCACTTTGATACTTGATTTTACTGGCTTAATTCTAACCACCGAATGTGGGCTGATATTCAGCCTGGCGGCCAGGGGCTGTGGGATCTGAAAAAAATATCAAAGTAAGGAAAATTTATAAGGCAGCAGAGCACTTCAAAGTAAAAATGGCCATTGATAACTGGTGCTTGAATGGAACCAGCTGTTACATTGTTGAAACTTACCCATACTTTTCCACTGTGGATCTTTCCCTTTCTGTGACTGCTTTGTTTGCCGGATAGTTTCTCAACACAATGGTACACCACCCTGACCACCATGACCGCTTCTTCTTTTTTGTCGTCACCCACCATATCATTTGTCGTATCATTTTTAGTAACCCCTGTGTTCTTCTTTTTCTCCATGGCTTCCTTAACTCTGTCCCTTGTTTCTTTAGGAGAAGAAACTTTGGAGAGCAGACCATATGTCACTAGAGACTGGCCTCCAATGAATCCAGTATTTAGTCCATCCCTCCATGGAAATAAATGAATAACACTGGTTGAAACGTGGCTTATGGTGCAAAGGGAGTCGGGAGGTGTGCCACATACTCTGTAGATAGAGTCAGTAAAGATTGAAGGGATGCCAGGGACAGGTGGTGGTTCTTTAATTGGGTCATAAGTGCCCTTTATCATATAGCGCAGGAGGCTCCTCAGGTCAGCAATGCCACCCCACTGGTGGCTTTGAGGGACATGAGCATTATTTTCTAAAGACTGTCCGGAGGAGGATGAATAGAGATCCATGTTCTGCTCTCTGTGAAGATTCGATTCCATGCTGCTCCTCGCTGGAGAACCACTGAGGTCACTAATTTCAGCACGGCTCTTCGGGGACACAACTAGCTCTGTGAACTGCTCCAGGCGACCATAGGGCACAGATGGCGAAAGTGATGCTGCAGGGATTAAGAGACAGATCAAATTGTGTTTATGAATGCAGTCCATAGATTTGACCATGACAGAGCTGAACAAGTTCTTTAAAAAGCCAACATTACTCACTAAAACCTTAGCTGCATTATTTTAGAATTATCAAAAGATGAAACTTTATATTTCTGCTCATGCATTTATCAAAGCCCATGTTTCTTCTCATGGATTTCCAAATTTTGGATAAATCAAGGAACATTAAACAGACAAAAGATAATCGTTGTATTAACTCTGACCTATTCGGATGTAGATGGCTGTGTGGCTGTCCACCCACACAGGAAAGACAGCATCTTGGAACACCACTCTGATCTGATCTAACAGCTGCTGCTCCAGCGCAGCACTGTGAAGCTCCTGAAGGTGTAAAACATAAAAAAGCAATGCTAACTTAGTGCTTCTTAAAGAGATTTAGGATCTCAAACCTGTATAAAAACATAAGGCTCTATGTTCACCCACCAGGATCTCCCAGTCATCAGATGACAGAGGCTCCACAAATACTTGATGCACTGATGAGACCTGGTGACATGGTTTCAGGAAGCCCTGAGAGAAACCACATAACCAGTTAATACAAACACTAAGTCCATAGACACCAATTGACAATTACTTTAAAGTAAGACGGTCGGGATGTGTAGAAATAACAAACACATTTATTTAGGAGGGCATAGTGCACAACAAAGTCCTCTTTTCAGAGAACTACCTGCTCTCCATCTCTCAGCCCCAACTTTTCTCCTAGTTGCCGACACAGCTCCACTTTATGGCTGTCATAGCTGGAGGAGGTTCTGTTTAGTGTCCAACTGAGGTAGAGTGGAGACCCATGGCCCCAGGACAACTCCAAGGCTTGGTTCTGAAACACAGACATTTGTACATGTTCATTTTTGCTGTAGTATAATCAAATGTCTGAAAACAATCAATGACAAAGCTATGCAGGTTTTATTACTGCGCAATGATGTCTTAAACTGTAGGAGAGGAGGGTTCACCATGTATTTGCCAAATAGCCAAACAGAGAAATAGGCAGTTTGTACAAATATAATGGGAGCTACTTGAAGATTGCTGTTTTAAATTATATCAGACAAGGGTAATCTGAAAGATAGGATTCATTATAGGTTTTAAAAGGATGACCAGAACAGAACAGAACATAAGACAGTTAGGTAATTTGCAAGACTGCATTGGCTTTCACCAGGTCTCCTGCTGCCCTGTGTCTAATGCAAAGCTTTGTCACCACCAAGTGAGACTGCAGGAGAACTACTCCAAAATAATTTGCATCAAAGTGGAAACAGTGAAAATACAACAACCACTCAACTGGCATCTTTGATAAATCGATCACTTTTTTATTGACCCCAAACACAAAGTACATAACAATAAGTATAATAAAATAAGATATTACATAGTATAATGATAATAACAAACTCATAATGCTACATGTCAAATTTAAAAAATAATCATTATAATATTACATTAAATGTTCTCTTGATTCCTTTTAAATATGTCATTGTTAATGTTAATGTATGATGTATATAATGTTATGTATAACCTGAAGTCGGAGGGTAAATAAAATGGAGCCTGTCATGTCTCAGCAAAAAATCCTTGTACTTTCTCTTTAAAAAATAATTCGATTTAAGCTAAGCAGCGGGTTAATATAATGAACTTATTGTTGTATGAATATAATAGAATAATATTGTAACACAGACAGTGAGAGATGAATCTAACTAGAATATGTTAGAAAGTAATTGACAGCAAATGTATGTACGTTTAAACACAAAGGAAATGAACAACACACATTCACAAACGCTAGTCACACAGCTGTCTCTGACATTTTGCTTGAACGTTTGAACCAAGACTCAACTTCCACTGATATTCCATGGAGGACACTGACAGCTCTGTTGCTAGCTATAAGCTAACCTACCTCGTTCAGGGAGAGATGTGTTATCAGCTTCGATGGGAGGTGAAGGAAGCAGTTTTTTGTGTTGTTAAAAACAACAGTCACCGGTTGAATGCCCTGGTTACTAAACATAATGTCCACATAGCCTGAACAGCTGTGTAACAACCGGACAGGTTCCACTGCTAACGTAAGAAGTGCAACAAGTTCATATTCGATCGATGTCTCTGACTCTGCCCAGCCAGACCAAAGTAGATGATAATGAGCTACATTTTTTTTTCAAAATAAGATACTTCGCGCCGGTACGCATTGGAGGCAAGGGGTAGGTGATGGAGAATACGCTCTTATTTTGAAGTGTGCCGGACGGAATTGTGTTTCCAGAAACATGGCGGCATCTTCAGGAAGCAGTTCAAGCTGTTGGGACACTCCGGAGGTTTATAAACACCACGAACAGAGAAAAGTTTGTATTTCTAGACCCAAGTACCGAGAGGGAAGAAACGCCAAAGCAGTAAAGGTAAGAACATGTTCCTCTCTGTGAAGGAAACGCTGGGTCTCAAGATCAGAGACACCCGAGCGACACTGTGATGGTGTGCTCTGTCGTTTGTTTAAACCACAGTCTATGGTTTAGACTGTATATAAAGATTAAACCCACCTTAGATAAAAGATCATATTCAATAAATCTATTTTTTTTTTAATCCTTGAGATGTGACACAGACATTTCACCTGGTTCTTGTTCATGGTGACGCTCACTGTCTGTATGTCAAGTTTTTAGAGGATTTTACACTGCGGTCAGGTGAGCAGACGTTCGTCTTTTCCTGATTTCAAGTGCGCCCGTATTACAGAATGTATGGCAAATGCAGGTAGTCCATGATACGGAGCGAGCCAATCTTTTCTGCCACTGTAAAATCCCTTTAATTTCCTACAAAGGTAGTCAAAAGTTGTCCTCAAGACCATCCTGACTGTTCACTCACTCAGTATCAAGTATATTTACTGTATGATCTTTTGAGAAATTCAGCCTCAAAGTTCATTATTTTGAATTGAAAAGGGCATTATGCTC